AAATATAATAAACATGACATAAACAAAATATAATAAACATGACATAAACAAAATATAATAAACATGACATAAACAACATATAATAAACATGACATAAACAAAATATAATAAACATGACATAAACAAAATATAATCAGCAGCAGTGTTTTGAGTATAAAAATTCAACGGGACTACCTGTGACTCTTAAGGCTGGGATTTGAACCCTGGACTTTTGTAATTGTTATGCTACATGTATCGCTCTGACAGACTGAGTGAACTGGTCTGTAATTGTCATGCTACATGTATCGCTCTGACAGACTGAGGTAAACTGGTCTGTAATTGTTATGCTACATGTAACGCTCTGACCGACTGAGCAAACTGGTCAACGGAACTGCCTTGGCCCAACTGTGATACAGTTACATCAAAAAGCAAAATTCAGGGGGGGCCGGATTACTGTATATTCGAAAAACCAAAGAGCAGTGTGTCGAGCATCCTTAAGTATATGAAGGCATAGTGATTTGTTGTGTTTGCAAGTAAAGGTGATAGTTGCGACAAATGGTACAGTTTGGTTAAAGCATAATATACCATTTTGAGACACTGTTAAACACTACAGTAATATAGCTGTAAATAAGCAGTACATTTTGTTTTACAGATCAGTGTCGTTCAGGAAACGGCCAGGACACTTCAGACTGTGATGCCAATAAATATCTCAACAGTGGCTTTTGTCTTGTCCAAGCTGCTGTGGATGCAGCATTTCTACGGGTAGGTTCATGTTTCAACATTCGGATTGCACTTTGATCAGTCTACAGTCTGTCATTTTACAGGAATAAGACTTACTTCATTATTAACCTGCAAACATATATATTTTACTGCACTTTAAAGACGATAACTTTCTATTTTTGCTAAAGCAACAAGTTATATAAATTATAAATCAAGAGATGTATAAGGATATGGCATATTTTCAAATTCATTTTTATTATTTGTTCACATTTTCTTTTAAAATCTTTTTCACAATTGAATGTGTAGCTTATTAAGTCAGTGGTACCATTTCCTGTGTCACAGATCCTAACGGGAGACAGCAGTTTCCCTCAGCCTGAGATCTCTGTACAGATGATGCCTAAACCGTCATACACACCTGACACAAGCTACCTTCAAACCATTTCTTCCATCTACTTTGTGATTGCGTATTCTCCCTTTGTCTCCTACCTCACTACTAATCTTGTGGCTGAGAAGGAGAAGAAGATCAAGGAAAGTATGAAAATGATGGGAATGCGTGATTCAGCATTTTGGTAAGTGTGCATCTAAAAAGGTATTTCTGCTCTAGAAATTAAGCAGGCATATAGTGCCTTTGAGCTTATGGATGGCACAGATTCTGTTGTCTGAATATCTGATTCACCTTATCCTTTAAACAACTGCCTAGATCTACTCACCATTAGGCAAAAAGTCATGATATTTGTCCCAAGAAGCTCAGTATTAAATTTTGTTGAAATCAGTTATCTTAATCCACTTGTCAGATCACAAGAGTCTAACATATTGAAAATTTCAAATGACTTATCCAGAACAACTAAGCATAGGGTCATATTTGTACTAAAACTTTTTTTTTTTTTTATCTAATGAGGTCACCTTTACTACTTCCTCATTTCTGATTGGTTGTCAATTTCAACATAAATATTTAAGCTTTTTACCAAAGTTGGTGTATATTTCTGTATCAAATGCATATGTACAGGTTGATGTTGACCATAACTCCACTTTTAGCCCATCATCATCATATGGTGGGCTATTCAAATCACCCTTCTTCCGTGGTCCATGGTCAGTCCATCCTTCTGTCATAGTCTGATCTATAAACAATTCTTGTTAGCTCTTTTTCTCAGTAAGCACTGAAGGGAACTTTTTCTAATTTAACATTAAGGTTCTCATGGTCACTTATTACCTACATATATCAAGTTCTGGGACTGACCGTAAATCAAGATAGCCAACAGGCAACCATCTTTTATTTTGAGAGTTAAAGGTTATCAGGGTTATTTCTCAGAAAGTGCTGGAGCTAGGGATCTTCATGGTCCCTAGTTATGCCTATCTATTTTAAGGACTGATTGGAAAACAAAGATGGCCATCTTTAATTTGGGAGTTCAATTTTGTTATCACTATTTCTCAAAAAATACTTGACAAATCTTTATAAAATTTCAAATGTTGATTTTTCCTTTGCCATATGTTGTGATTGTTTCATAGATTTTTTCATGGATTATGATGGGAAATTGTTATCAGTAAAATGCCAACAGTATCTCTTCATCATACTTGAAACAAAGTAATAATCTAATGCACTGGACAGATCAAAGTAGTTAAAGGAAAATTAAACTGTAAGTGAATTTTTATCTCTTTTCATTGACAGGTTGTCATGGGGACTTGTCTACTTGTTTGTGATTGCCTTATCAACAGCAGTCATCACGGTTCTCATGGTTGCCACCTCTTTCTTCGCCAACAGCAATGCCTTCATTTTCTTCCTGATACTTTTATTGTATGGTATTTCTATCATCACATTTGCATATGTGTTGACAACTTTCTTCAACAAGGCTCAGACTGCAGGTGGCTTGGCCAGTTTGATGAGCATCATCTTTAGCTGTCTGTATCTGATAGTAAGCCAAACCCGCACAATGCTGCCATCTGGCGCTGTTGTGTACAGTATATCTCCGGGCGTGCGCTGGCTGTTGTGTATTCTCTCCCCTGTTGCTGTGGCATTAGCTATTGACCAGGTGAGTTTGTAATTGATTTACATATCTTAACTAGTTATTGACCGGGTAAGATAGTAATAATGTTACCATTCTAATCTAGCTATTGACAAAGTAGGATATTTTAACTATATACAGTTTTGTACCGACACAAAAAAGCACCATGCACATAGCACACATTACCAGTGGTGACTACATCATGTACACATATAGTGTGCTTGCCTGTGTTTTAACAATTATTTTCCATGTTGTGTGCACATGTTTGCACTAACTGAAATTCGGTACATAAGATACAGGAATGATCATAAGTATTTTAATTATATCTTAAAGGCAACAATCATACCTTGAGATAGCTATTTAATTAATAAAATATGCAAATTATACAGGTAATTATACATGTAAGCAAACATGTAGTAAGTAATACAGGTAAATGATACAATCCGGTAATAATACAAAGATACTTGATGACTTTTAACAGGCTATATTCCTTGACAAGCCATTGAATGGTGGAATGAACTTCAACACCATTACTGATGGAGATTTCCCTCTCTATGCTCCTATGGTGATGCTGCTTATAGATGCTGTTCTGTACTTCTTACTTGCTGTGTACCTGGACAATGTCCTTCCAGGTAGGTCGTCTAGTTTCCATTTGAGACCTTTAGGGGTATGTATTACTCCAACAATGTTAGAGGTTTTACACGGCGAAAAACTTTTGACAGTCGCAGTCGGCAAAATCATATCCGATTGGAAAAAGGCTGACTAGCGGCCTCTCATGTTATGGGAGTAGGGTATGTATCAAAGTATTTCTTTATCCACAATCAGTGTACACTTTCAGGTGTGTTATTTTTATGTGATAACTAAAACAAATACTATTTTTGTCTCTGGCCCAATAATACCAGACAACATCAACTGTTCAGTGCTATTTACAGCTGATTTTTCATACTCTAACTTGTGTCATGGTATCAGGATAAGCTAAAGGAATCAAAATTTTACAAAACAAGAGAAGTGCATAGCATGTTTTTATGTCCAAAGGCTGATCTCTATTTTGACTATATAGAAAAATAAGACTAGAAATCTTTAATATGTTTTTGAAAATAAAATATCAAGTCAAAATTGCTTCATATATTAACACCAAGGTAGCATATATTTCAACTGATGCCATTTTGTTTGGCTGTCCATGCAGTGTATCTATTTTGAAATTTTAAAATCTTGAGTTTATGTTTAGTACCTAACAAAATACATCATTTTTGCCAAGATGTAATGATAGATTGTAAATAATGAGCCTGTACCGGGCATTAGCCAATTTTCTTGACAATTTGTTCTCAATTTTATATGAGGATCCATACTAGAGAACAAAATATCTCCAATGTACAATACTAGTGTATAATCCGTTCTTTAACCCAATTCCATGTCATTTATATACAAACAGTGTTTTTATCAACCTAAATTTTACAATAACCTGTTCCTACAAGAATTTGGAATAAAGGGCATTACATTTGTTGAAAATAGACATTCCTCATTTTTACTTCATTTGGGACAATAAAGCATTTTTTTGCTAGGTAAAGCAGTCTGTATTTGGCTGTAAATTTAGGCAGCAAAAATCACAGATCTCTATGAGGTAGACAAAACAACATCATCCTGAGGGTAGGATTTTGAAAGTTATCACGAGGCTTTGTTGAGTGCTAAACTTCAACAGTCTAATTCTAGGGGTTGAAATTTCTGTTTGCCTCACATAAGAGTGAATGATTATTTTTCTCTCCCACACTTTCCTTTCTTCAAAAATATTTTGTAATGGTGAACCTACCGTAATGCAATCATCATCAAGAACACATGAAATGTGTGACAAATTTGATGACGCTAGCCTGCCTCAGAGCATAGAGTGATGATGTGATGGTGACGTTTTCAAAATAAAGGCATGTGCGATATGTTTTTCTCTTGATAGGATTGGTTTATCTTTTTCCTACCAAAATCGAGATCACACCTGTGAAGTGTGGGAGGAAAATATAATCTGAATTATATCATGATTTCTAAACACATTACCTTGATTTTTCAAAACAATATCGTGGATTATTCTCTTATAACAAGTGATATATATATATACATCGGGAAATATAATCAATTTCTAGTAACACACGTTATTTGTGTGACAGGAGAGTATGGGGATATATAATCAGTTTCTAGTAACACACGTTATGTGTATGACAGGGGAGTATGGGGAAATATATTCAGTTTCTTGTAACACACGTTATGTGTGTGACAGGAGAGTATGGGGATATAATAATCAGTTTCTAGTAACACACGTTATGCGTATGACAAGGGAGTATGGGGATATAAAATCAGTTTCTATTAACACACGTTATGCGTATGACGGGAGTATGGGGATATAAAATCAGTTTCTATTAACACATGTTATGTGTATGACAGGGGAGTATGGGGATATATAATCAGTTTCTAGTAACACATGTTATGTGTATGACTGGGGAGTATGGGGATATATATTCAGTTTCTAATAACACAAGTTATGTGTATGACAGGAGAGTATGAGGATATATAATCAGTTTCTAGTAACACAAGTTAAGTGTATGACAAGGAAGTATGGGGATATATAATCAGTTTCTAGTAACACACGTTATGTGTATGACTGGGGAGTATGGGGATATATATTCAGTTTCTAGTAACACAAGTTATGTGTATGACAGGAGAGTATGGGGATATATAATCAGTTTCTAGTAACACAAGTTAAGTGTATGACAAGGGAGTATGGGGATATATATTCAGTTTCTAGTAACACATGTTATGTGTATGACAGGGGAGTATGGGGATATATAATCAGTTTCTAGTAACACAAGTTAAGTGTATGACAAGGGAGTATGGGGATATATAATCAGTTTCTAGTAACACACATTATGTGTATGACTGGGGAGTATGGGGATATATATTCAGTTTCTAGTAACACACGTTATGTGTATGACAGGAGAGTATGAGGATATAAAATCAGTTTCTAGTAACACAAGTTATGTGTATGACAGGGGAGCACGGAGCAAGAAAAAAGCCTTGGTACTTTTTGATGCCGTCATACTGGTGCACAAATGGGAAGGATGACCTAAGACTGCTTTCTCAAGTAGAGTATAGTGAGGGTAATGTAGAATTTGTGGAATCTGTCCCTGAAGAACTCAAAAACAAGACCGCTATCAGGTAAGTTCAAATCTTATCATACTGATCTCATGGACAACATTATAGTCATGTAAACCCATACAGCTAGCATTGGTATATTGTCAATGGTAGGTAACACAGCTCTAATTGGTATATTGTCATTGTCAGGTAACACAGCTTTCATTGGTATATTGTCATTGTCAGATAACACAGCTCTCATTGGTATGTTGTCAGTGGTAGGTAACACAGCTCTCATTGGTAGATTGTCATTGTTAGGTAACACAGCTCTCATTGGTAGATTGTCATTGTCAGGTAGCACAGCTCTGATTGGTATATTGTCATTGTCAGGTAACACAGCTCTCATTAGTATATTGTCATTGTCAGGTAACACAGCTCTAATTGGTATATTGTCATTGTCAGGTAACACAGCTCTCATTGGCAGATTGTCATTGTCAGGTAACACAGCTCTCATCGATTGGTAGATTGTCATTGTCAGGTAGCACAGCTCTCATTGGTAGATTGTCATTGTCAGGTAACACAGCTCTCATTGGTTTATTGTCATTGTCAAGTAACACAGCTCTCATTGGTAGATTGTCATTGTCAGGTAACACAGCTCTCATTGGTATATTGTCATTGTCAGGTAACACAGCTCTCATTGGTAGATTGTCATTGTCAGGTAACACAGCTCTCATTGGTAGATTGTCATTGTCAGGTAACACAGCTCTCATTGGTAGATTGTCATTGTCAGGTAACACAGCTCTCATTGGTAGATTGTCAGTGGTATGTAACACAGCTCTCATTGGTATAGTGTTATTGTCAGGTAACACACCTCTCATTGGTATATTGTCATTGTCAGGTAACACAGCTCTCATTGGTACATTGTCAGTGGTAGGTAACACAGCTCTCATTGGTATATTGTCATTGTCAGATAACACAGCTCTCATTGGTAGATTGTCATTGTCAGGTAACACAGCTCTGATTGGTATATTGTCATTGTCAGGTAACACAGCTCTGATTGGTATATTGTCATTGTCAGGTAACACAGCTCTGATTGGTATATTGTCATTGTCAGGTAACACAGCTCTCATTGGGAGATTGTCATTGGCAGGTAACACAGCTCTCATTGGTATATTGTCATTGTCAGGTAACACCGCTCTCATTGGTAGATTGTCAGTGGTAGGTAACACCGCTCTCATTGGTATATTGTCATTGTCAGGTAACACTGCTCTCATTGGTATATTGTCATTGTCAGGTAACACAGCTCTCATTGGTAGATTGTCATTGTCAGGTAACAATTGTCAGTGTCTGATATCACAAAATTAAGAAGATTATCAGTGTCAGTTAACTGATGGGGGGCAATTGATTGCTTGCAATTCTCAGCCTTGTGAAAATGTTTTTAGTTAGAACTGTTTCTTGCCATATTGTATTTACATACGTTCTATTTACCCTCAAAATTCACACTGCCACATATATTTGATTTCAAATATTGTATTGACAAGACATTTACAAATATTACAGCTAACTTTATTAGTTTTCTGCTATAAAATTTTCTGTATGTTGCTTTTAAAATAAGCAGTCAAATTAAGTTGTCATATAGCATAAATGTCAGCATTGGTTATTTGTTTACTGTAGCAAAAATGTGTCGGATGATGAACCTTCACTGTATTAATCCGGGTCATTATTTGGGTTGTAGACTTCTAGATATTCACAAGGATTTCCGGTCAAAGGAAACGAAAGAGATGGTACCAGCTGTTGATGGTAAATTTATTTACATTGTAGTACATGTGGGCTAACGCTATCATTCCATCAAAGTGATTTTATTGCTTGAATGTTTATGAAGTTTGTAATAGGGGCAGTACACAAAATAACGATGTTATCTTTGGTTTGAACACCACTATAATCAGACCAAAATAATCCTTTTGACATCTTTTGATAAGGGGAATAATGTATTATTCCTAAGCATTACAAATACTGCCTGTATAAAAGTATTGAAAGCCAAATTAGCAAAATGATAGAATATTTTTCTTAAATTTAAGATTAAAAAATAACAAAAATTGACTTCACCCATAAAACTAGCTAGGTATTACTTCCTTGTCACTGAGCTTTGTGAGCCATAGTTCATTGATACTTGTTACTTGTCATATCTGTAGTGTAACTATAATAATCAGGTCAAATTCTCAGATTAACATTAGGGTGACTATAACACATCCACAAAGATACCTTTATGTTGACCTTTGTCTCCCCCCTCAAGGCTTGTCATTGGATATCTATGAAGGACAAGTAACATGCCTATTGGGCCACAATGGAGCAGGAAAGACAACTCTTGTCAACATGTTGACTGGTCTGATGCCACCAACCAAAGGAACAGCAACAATTCTAGGCTTGGTAAGTATTCACAAATTCAGCTTAAACATTTTCTTTCCCAGTTTCACATAATGTTTCAATTTTGTTTAATCTATCAGTTGATGTAGATTGTTTTCATGATTCAGTTTTTCTGATGAAAATTGAGGTTAAATCTATTTCAGGTGAATGTATTGTGAAGTAAATTGATGCATGTATGTACAAATTACTATTAGTTTACTGGTGTCATGATTTCAGAACATTGCTAATGCAATGGACATGCAGAGGATACGCACAATGACAGGTGTTTGTCCCCAGCACAACATCATATTTGACGATATGTCGTGTGTGGAACACCTGCACCTCTACGGAGCCATCAAAGGTGCAGCTGACCACCTTCTTCAGTCTGAGGTACCCATTTATTGTTATATAGTTGCAATTTGGATGGAATTCTTAAATAAGATAAGCTAAGATTGGTTTCAAATCACAGCAATGTATTTGCTATAGATCTATACTTGCATACTGATTGTATCATTATTCTGACCTGTACACTTTTCAAAGACATCTTCAATTAAATGTTAATGAGATGGTGAAGCAATTTCGTAAATGTTATAAATGCAATTGAAATACCAAAATGTATTTGCAGACCGAAACAGCTCTCAAAAATGTTGATTTGTACAAAGAGCGGAACACATTTGCCAAGAATCTCAGTGGTGGTCAGAAGAGGAAGCTGTGCGTAGCCATCGCCCTTATTGGAGACCCAAAGGTATCAGTGTACAGACCCTTACAGCTCAGTCACTTTGTATATCATAAAGGGACATGTGACAGACATCATTATATATACAAACAAACCTGTCAAAAAGGGGCTGTAGATGGAGTAACACTCTTTAAATTGGTCCACTACCTAAATCATACTTCTCCCAACAATGTCTTATGTATTTAGTTGATAATGTTATGCAAGTAGTCAATGCCCACTGTGAGAAGATTTATCTCCTGATGAATCCTGTTTCAAATATAGATTAATGCCAAAAATAGCACAAGATACCACACACTTTAGCAAGAAACAAGCTGCATGCCCATGCAATGTGACGACACAGTAAGTTTGATTAATTGATTTCATTCATTATAAGTAATAACTCATTTTTGGCCAATTACATTTACAAACCATATGACATATAATAAATAAATTTAATAAGGCACTGTGTTGTTCGCATTTGAGTTTTGACCAAAAAAGGGGTTTTATGAGAGTATGCACACAGTTGGAAGGGAGACCCATAGGGGTGAATTTGAAAATGTAGCCTAGCTAGTACTATACAGAAATTATGAATTTGATATGTGCATGAATAAAAGGTTGTTGGAAGTGTGTGAACTGTTTGTAACTGATAGTCATAACATCAAGAAATTCTTAATAGATAATTAAGATCGACAAGAAAACCTTGGCTGTTGTCAATATCTCAACATTAAATGGTCGTGAGGAGTATCAATCTAAGTTATTGTGACCTGGTTATGAAAAAAACTTCCTTCCTGAGGTATCCCTTTAAGTGATCGGTCAAGTGAAAGATGGGTGGTCACTTACTGGTTGCAAACATTTTCATTCCCTAACTATTTTATTTCTGCTCAAATGCTGAAAAAGGATAATATTTCAATTATTTCTTTATCTGTAAGTTGGCTTGTTATAGACTGCTAATATTGAGTGGCATTTGTCCTGCTTCCATGTTTAAGATTTGGTCCATTTGAAATTACACCAAATTACTCTAGATTTAATTTTTCAGATTATTTTTCTCGATGAACCCACTGCTGGAATGGATCCTTACTCTCGACGCCATCTTTGGTCAATTCTAAAAGAGAAAAAGGAAGGAAGAGTGATTCTGCTTACCACACATTTCATGGATGAAGCTGACATACTGGCAGGTAGGCATTTTCCGGTTCCTTATCCAATGAAATGGTTTGGAAGGCTCAAAAATAAAAGACTTGATCACTTGGGTACTGTGTAACCTTGAAGCCTATCTAGAATGGACCTCATTTTCTCCCCTCAATTTATGCTTCTACATTGTATATCAATGAAATCTGTACAGACCTAAAACCTTCTCTAAATTGTCCCTCAGTATTTATTTCTGTGTCAATTCAATCTGTGAACTTGGACCCTGTCTTTAGAAAATGGAATTACAAGTTGGAGTGGTGTTTGGTTTGTACAGTTTAATTGATGGGGTATTGTTGTGTTTCTGTGAGACATAGATCGCCCGTTGTTATTTGTAATGTAGGTATTAATATGAGATGATTGTATACTCTTGTCATATAACACTTATGTTGCTGAATAAAATACCCTAATCTAATTGCACTCTTTTAAACATACCACCCTATATACCAACAACATTTTCAGACCGGAAAGCCATCATCAGTAAGGGTAGGCTGAGATGTTGTGGATCCTCCTTGTACCTGAAAAGTAAATTTGGTATTGGATACCACCTCAAGTAAGTCAACTGTGTTTTCAAGAGTATTGGTGGTTTTAAGTTTGTTAAATCTTCGTTAGTGATGGACCAATTTCAAGGGGAGGTAACTCATTAATGAAAATGTCAAAAAATGGTTGCTATCTACTACTCTTTGGAGAAACTCAATATTTACATATAATATTGATGTGTAAAAAAGGACTATGGGAAGATATTAATATGTTGTAATTTTACTGAAATGAGATGTGGATTAAGACATGGTAGTTGACCTGGATATTTTAATTGTAGAATGGTTTAGGTGACCTGAATGTTTTTTATAGTGGTATGGTACACTGTAGTTAATCCTTAATGTTAAATTTCAAGCATAGTAGTTGACCTAGATGTTTTTATTTCAATTTGGTAGAGATAGCCTGGATATTTCTTTTAATGATAGCAGCTTGCACTGTTGTCGATTCTTACTGTTTAATTCTTAGCATGGTAGTTGACGTTGATACTTTAATTATAGCATGGTTGTGGACCCTGGATGTGATGCAGATCAAGTGACACAGCTTGTCAAGAACTGTGTGTCAGGTGGAGAGCTACAAAGGACTCATGGCAAGGAACTGGCATACACACTTCCTCTGGATGAGTTACACAACTTCCCAGGTAAGGAACTGACATACACACTTCCTCTGAATGAGTTACACAACTTCCCAGGTAAGGAACTGACATACACACTTCCTCTGAATGAGTTACACAACTTCCCAGGTAAGGAACTGACATACACACTTCCTCTGAATGAGTTACACAACTTCCCAGGTAAGGAACTGACATACACACTTCCTCTGAATGAGTTACACAACTTCCCAGGTAAGGAACTGACATACACACTTCCTCTGAATGAGTTACACAACTTCCCAGGTAAGGAACTGACATACACACTTCCTCTGAATGAGTTACACAACTTCCCAGGTAAGGAACTGACATACACACTTCCTCTGAATGAGTTACACAACTTCCCAGGTAAGGAACTGACATACACACTTCCTCTGAATGAGTTACACAACTTCCCAGGTAAGGAACTGACATACACACTTCCTCTGAATGAGTTACACAACTTCCCAGGTAAGGAACTGACATACACACTTCCTCTGAATGAGTTAGACAACTTCCCAGGTAAGGAACTGACATACACAATTCCTCTGGATGAGTTACACAACTTCCCAGGTAAGGAACTGACATACACAATTCCTCTGAATGAGTTACACAACTTCCAAGGTAAGAAACTGACAGACAAATTTTGTCTTTTTTCTTACAGCATTGTGCAATTTACTACTTGTAACCTACTTGTGTTCTACTCTCACTGAGCGTCTAGGAGGTTAATTGATTACTCACCCAGTAAACAACAGGTATACCACAAACCACAAAAGCTGTCAGTAGTAACAACATTTTTGCATTTAAACATCGCCACCTAGCCACCACATAATTATATTTTTTTCTATTGCAGTTTTATTCTCGGCCCTGGAAAAACCTAACACCTCCATCTCCACCACAGCAGACTCTCTAGGAATCAAGAATTACGGAGTTTCCATGACATCACTGGAGGAAGTCTTCCTCAAATTAGGTAAAGTGTTTAACAATGGAGACCTTCCAGTAATATTATTTGATGACATAGATGCAAACCTGAGGTGCTATGTAATCTTCTGTTGGGACATCTTCTGCAAAGTACCTTAATGGAATTGGATTTTTATTTTTTTATGAAGACTTTTTTGAAATAATTTTATATCAAGAATTATATATTATAAACTTACAAAAACTGTCTATCGTCTGTCCTTGAGCAATTCTTGTTATCAATTTTTCTCCAGAAGTACTGGCTTGATCCATCCCAAATTTCATATCTAAGTTCCCCTTGGTCCATGGTTTTCAATTTTCCATTTTTAGATTAATCAGAAAGACAAGATGACCACCAGAAAGCCATCTTGGATTTTCATAGTTTGATTTTGAAGTTTGTTTCTCTATTTCCCCAGGCTACATTTCCAAAGAAGTAAAACTAAATGTAGGATGTCAAAGAAATTCTAATTATCTCAAAAAATTCTTCACATACTGGTCGCAGGGGATAGAATATTGTTTGATTTTGTGTAAAGTTTATCTGACACTTAGCTAATGCAAATGAATGTGATTTATTTTCAGAGGAAGATGACAGTTCATTTGAATTGAAGGAAATCACCCAGTCCCCATCAAAGAAATCATATGGATCTCTGGAGGGATTCAGCCAACACAATAACTCTGAGAGCATGACCATGGACACTGCCTTGTCTACCGCCTGTGTAGATCCGTCCAAACTCAGATCACAGCAGTTCTGGGCGCTTTGCAAAGTTCGCTTTTTACGATTGATAAGAGACCCAGGGTCGGTAATTTTTGTGTTGATCTTTCCAGCTTTATTTGTGTTAGCTGGTATGTTAGTGAGTAAGTATGTGTCGTCACCTTCAGCAGACACTACCCCGGTGCCCCTCTACATTGACAATGCCATCACACAGTATGCTAGACAAACGGCAGGGCCTGCAGCTACACCGCCACTTGCTGTCAATGATTTTGTCAGTAAGTTTGAACTTTTAGGCACATGAATATTGAAGTGAAAGTAGGTAAAACAGGATTTCAGCTTATATGCCTTGATACAAAGAGGTTTTATTACTGGCCATCTCAGACTATATCAGTTGAAAAAAAGTGTTATTGTTATCGGTAGCATATAGATATATTAGATATAGAAAATAAAGATGTTTAAAAATGCTAAAATTTGCCAGAATTTTCTATAAACGATAACTGAAGTTAGGGACTAAAACAACTAGCACCACAACTACATATTGATTTCATTAGAAGACCTCACTGTTATCAAACTTATATACCATTACACATATAACTTCTTTATTGTAAAGAGTTGTTCTGTTGTCAGTGCTGTCTTATATATTTCAGGTTCTGCAGATTCTGCAGGTTTCATGAATTTGGTCAGTTCTGCCTTTGTGACTGATAACTTTGCTAACGCTAGTGATCTGTTGTCAAGCTATCACAGGATGGGGGTTCAGCTGGACAAATACACAGTCGCTGGGTCGGTGAGTATCACACACCAGACCGATATAAACAGTCCCTGATTACAATACAAGGCTATTAGATCAGTGTGTACAATTCAAGGTCACAGGGTCAGAGAGTACAATACAAGGTCACTGGGTCAGTGTTTACAATTCAAAGGTGACTGGGTCAGTGAGTACAATGTAAGGTCAGTGGGTCAGCGAGTAGAATACAAAGTCAATGGTCATTGGTACAATACAAAGTCATGATCACTGGGTCAGTGTGTACAATATAAGGTCAGTGGGTCAGTGAGTAGAATATAAGGTCAATGGGTCCGTGTGTACAATACAAGGTCGGTGGGTCAGTGTGTACAATACAAAGTCAATGGGTCAATGAGTACAATTCAAAGTCAATGGGTCAGTGTGTACAATATAAGGTCAGTGGGTCAGCGAGTAGAATATAAGGTCAATGGGTCAGTGTGTACAATACAAAGTCAATGGGTCAATGAGTACAATTCAAAGTCAATGGGTCAGTGTGTACAATTCAAGGTTACTGGGTCAGTGAGTACAATACAAGGTCAGTGGGTCAGAGTGTACTCTATAAAGTCAATGGGTCCGTGTGTACAATTCAAGGTTACTGGGTCAGTGAGTACAATACAAGGCCAGTGGGTCAGCGAGTAGAATACAAAGTCAAGGGGTCAGTGTGTACAATACAAAGTCAATGGGTCAGTGTGTACAATTCAAGGTTACTGGGTCAGTGAGTACAATACAAGGTCAGTGGGTCAGCGAGTAGAATACAAAGTCAAGGGGTCAGTGTGTACAATACAAAGTCAATGGGTCAGTGTGTACAATACAAAGTCAATTAAGGGGTCAGTGTGTACAATACAAAGTCAATGGGTCAGTGAGTACAATACAAGGCCATGATCACTGGGTCAATTATTTTAACACTTTTGACCCATAACAGTATGCTGTCGCAGGTTTGATGTTGTGATGAACCTTTCCTATAACCTTTACTAAAACTACTGTAATAACACTTCTCTTGACTCCGGGAACCTCTGTTTATCCCACTGTAAGAATAGTGTGACTTGTTTGATTGTTATGTCAACATGTCTATGTTGTGACTGTTCAATGAGATGCTACTTTAAATGACCATGAAGTGGCCTCATCTATAGAGATATTGTCATAAATGTCACTTTGACTGTTTCAAAGACATAAAAACCCAATCATTCTCTCAATCAATGCTTTTTTCTTCCCCAACAGTTGTTCAAGACCCCTTCTACCCCTACCATTCAATTCTTCCTTCATCCCCACCGATCATAAAAGTCCCCTTCTACCCCCACCCCTTCCCATTTCCCCACTAGGTGTAAATGTCCCCTTCTACCCCCACCGTCACCTCTTCCCAACCAATTATAAATGTCCTCACCTTCCACCCCTCCTGTCCTTTCCCACTAGTTGTAATGGTCCCTTCTAGCATCCTGCCACACTTAGCTGCCCTACCCCACCAGTTGAATAGTCCCTTTGTGCCCTGTTACCCCCCCCTGTCCTTCCCTACCAGGTTTAATTGTCTGCTCCTGCTCCTTTCCATCCCCTCTTGTCCTTCCTCGTAGAAGACTCAAGTGACCTATTGTGATATGTCACAGTGAATCCATTATTCCTAAATGTACTTCAATGACACTAAGCAGAAATGTGTTAATTTCTTGGTTAGCTGCCAGGGCTGGTGAGGAATTTTGTAACCCCTGTTGTCATGGTCCCCTTCTAACTAGTAAAAACATATGTTGTTATGGTCCCTTTTGTCTCTCTTAATTTTGCCTTCATCCCCCTACCACCACAAGCCAATACCTATTATTGCTTTACCATTCCTTTCTTTGACATGTAGATTTTTGACATGTATTGCAGGTGATAACTCAGGGTTTTACTGCAGTCTACAATGACAGTGCCATCCATTCTATGCCAGCAGCTATAAATGTGATGATCAACAAGCTGCTGACAGCTCTCAGCCTCAACCCCTCCTTGTCAGTGGTGAACCTGCCCTGGCGCAAAGATGCCTCTACACCTACCTATGATCAGGGTGCTTTCTCTTCTACCATACTAGTGGCCATGGCGTTTGTGACCATACCACCTTCGTTTGCTGTTACACTCGTCAAAGACAGACAGGTGTGTAGTTGACAGTTTCATTGATGTAAAATATAAAGCATTATTGTGTCAACATTAAATTTTATAAAATTAAATTGTTTGCTGTCATAATATTTGATTGCTCAATAATGCTAATGAATTTAAAATTCTGATTTATGATAGGAAAAAATTATCAGGAAATATTTTAATCAGGATTATATATACATGTATTGGTTTTTAGGTCACCTGAGCTTTAGTCGTCCGTCGTCGTGCACCGTCCATTAACATTTTACATTTTCAACTTAAGCTGAAATACTGTTGAAGGGATTTCATTGATACTTTATGAGAATGTTACTGACATCTCCCTGACCAAGTGTTGTTATTTTTCGGGTGGATCAGAAATCCAATATGGCCACCACAGTCACCATTTCAAAAAAAAAAAATAATCAAACTTAAAGACAAGTTCTACTGGGCCGATTTAACTGAAACTTGGTAGGAATGATCGACTCATGGTCCTGACAAGTGTTGATATTTTTCGGGTCCATCAGAAATCCAATATGGCTGCCAAGGCCGCTATTTTCAAAAACCATTTCAAACTTAAAGTAAAGTTCTACTGGGCCAATTTAACTGAAACTTGGTAGGAATGATCGACTCATGGTCCTGGCAAAGTGGTATTTTTTCTTCAAAAATGCAATATGGACGCCATTTTTTTATTTATTTAATTTCAAACTTAAAATCAAGTTCTAATAGGCAGATTTAACTAAAACTCGGTCGAGGAATGATCAACTCATGGTCCTGACAATCTTAACTTAACGTTATACCTAACTATGTTTTACTCAAATTGGTAGGGATGATTGACATCATTATCTCCTCTTCATATTTTAACAACAAAAATAAATACTGTAGGACTCAGGTGACCGTTAAGGCCCATCAGCCTCTTGTTGAACCAATGTGAACATTCTACCTTTTTTTTGTTACAGTTCAAGATAAGAAGTCAGATGAGGGTTACAGGCGTAAATTTTTCCATGTACTGGGCGACCACCTTCTTTGTAGACCTACTGCAATACTTGATACCTGCTTCACTTTCTATTATATTCGTTCTTGCCTTGCAGGTAAGTCATGAGGGTTGTTTCACATCTAAAAGGGAACAGTGGGGCCTTGTTAGTAATATAATTATTACCCTTTGTGTATAGTCGTTAGTATGGTTACCATGGTTTGCACGTAAAGTAGAACAATGTTGTTATGGTTCCCTTGGTTTCCACATTGTATGATCACCATGGTGTGTGTATAATAATAACAATAATAATAATAATAATAATAAACTTTATTTATTCAGGATACAAAACCTGTTTAGCAAAGCTAATCTTCCACAGGGTATACAGAAGATCATTGTTAGTATGGTTACCATGTTTGTTTATAGTAGAACATTGTATGATCACCATGGTGTGTGTATACAGAAGATCATTGTTTGTATGGTTACCATGGTTTGTTTATAGTAGAACATGGTATGATCACCATGGTGTGTGTATACAGAAGATCATTGTTAGTATGGTTACCATGGTTTATAGGTAAAGCAGAAAGATGCATAAAATTACTTGGCATGAAAAGATGAATGCACCTATGTTACCATGATGGTGCAGGGGTCCAGCCCCTACCCTTGGTACTTACTTCCTTGGACATGACATGGGTTGAAATCCCCTGCTAGACATGAAGAGATGAATACACTCTTGTTACTAGGATTAGCAGTAGGGTTACATAACCTGAACATATTTAAGATCCCTACCACATTACCATAGATAACTCACAACAGCTTAGGTTGTATTAAGATGGAAGGTGGAAATCTGTGAGATTTTGCTTTACTGTGTGAGATCAGCATATATGGTAAAGTTAATCTTAGACCCTATCTGATTTTTTAGGTAAAAACCTACTCTTATATTTCTATCTTAAGATAAGGATGGTACATGTCTTAATTGTAAATTTCTATGTTGATTTAATTTTTTTTCCAGCCAGCCAGTCTGTCAAATGCTGGGGCAGTGTTGGCCATGCTCATCCTGTTTGTATGCTTCATCCCAAGCAACACACTTTTTAGCTACCTGTTTTCTTACTTTTTCACTAAGTTTGAAAGTGCCCAAGGAGCAGGTGTAACCATTTTCTTTTTCGTAAGTAGAGTTTTAAATGGATGTTTGAAGGTTATTAATATTAATAAAATATAATCTTTTTTTCTTCTTACTAATCAGATTGTAGGGATATCGATCAAATATATTAAATCGTCAATTAAAGTGGTATTCATTCACTGAAAATAAAATGTCTTCAGAGGAAATGTTTCTGTATATGTTATACTCTTCCTGTTTGTCATTGTAGAAGAATTGTGAATGATGTGTCTGACACATGGGTAATAATAAATCTCTCTCAATTCTTTCTACAATGTACAAATGATTTCCCCCTACACTATTGTATCTACCCTGTGATGTAGATTATCTCTAACCCCCTACACTATTGTATCTACCCTGTGATGTAGATTATCACTAACCCCCTACACTATTGTATCTACCCTGTGATGTAGATAATCATTAATCCCTTACCTAATTGTATTTACCCTGTGATGTAGATAATCATTAATCCCTTACCTAATTGTATCTACCCTGTGATGTAGATAATCATTAATCCCCTACATTACTGTCTCTACACTGTGATGTAGATTATCATTAATCCCTTACCTTATTGTATTTACCATGTGATGTAGATAATCATTAATCCCCTACATTACTGTCTCTACACTGTGATGGAGAGTATCACTAATCCCCTATACCATTGTATCAGAACCCTGTGATGTAGATTATCACTCATCCCTACACCATTGTATCAAAATCCTGTGATGTAGATTATCACTCATCCCCTACACCATTGTATCAGAACCCTGTGATGTAGATTATCACTAATCCCCTATCCCATTGTATCAGAACCCTGTGATTTAGATTATCACTAATCCCCTATACCATTTTATCAGAACCCTGTGATGTAGATCATCACTAATCCCCTATACCATTGGATCAGAACCCTGTGATGTAGATTGTCATTAATCCCTACACCATTGTATCAGAACCCTGTGATATAGATTATCACTAATCCCCTATACCATTTTATCAGAACCCTGTGATGTAGATCATCACTAATCCCCTATACCATTGGATCAGAACCCTGTGATGTAGATTGTGATTAATCCCTACACCATTGTATCAGAACCCTGTGATATAGATTATCACTAATCCCCTATACCACTGTATCAGAACCCTGTGATGTAGGTTGTCATTAATCCCTACACCATTGTATCAGAACCCTGCGATGTAGATTGTCATTAATCCCTACACCATTGTATCAGAACCCTGTGATTTAGATTATCACTAATCCCCTATACCACTGTATCAGAACCCTGTGATGTAGATCATCACTAATCCCCTATACCATTGTATCAGAAGCCTGTGATGTAGATTGGCATTAATCTCTACACCATTGTATCAGAACCCTGCGATGTAGATTATCGCTCATCCCTACACCATTGTATCAAAATCCCGTGATGTAGATTATCACTCATCCCCTCCACCATTGTATCAGAACCCTGTGATGCAGATTATCACTAATCCCCTATACCACTGTATCAGAACCCTGTGATGTAGAATATCACTAATCCCCTATACCATTTTATCAGAACCCTGTGATGTAGATTATCACTCATCCCCTCCACCATTGTATCAGAACCCTGTGATGTAGATTGTCATTAATCCCTACACCATTGTATCAGAACCCTGTGGTGTATATTTCCTTTTGTTTGTCTGTTACAGCTGTCATTCATTCCTTACATTGCGGTGTCTCTGTTGGACATGATACTTAGGAATAACATTGCGTCCATCATTCACTACATCTTACTGGTCATTGATCCTCCCTACGCTATTTTTGGAGGCTTCTACTACATAGACAGGGTAAGTATTTTTTTATCATAAACAGAGGAGTGATATCTTTCCTATGTGAGCTCATTGTACTAGAACTCCCTCCAGTTGGTATACCAATATGTCAGATTTGATGGCATCATGGCATAATATTACTTCAGTTGTTGGTATCAGACTTACATGATCAAACAAATCCTGGCTTTCTCCGATTTCTATAATATCAGTACAAAATAGTGTGCTAGGTTTTGTAGAATAAAGCAACCAGACATTTTTGCAGATAATCATTTTATATTTATTAGTCATACTGACAAGTGACATCAAAAATGTTAAACATTATGGTTGCAGGCCTGTCTTGCCTCTTGTAATATTTCTTCTGGAACAAGTACCGGTCACAGTCTGTTTTGCTGTCAATCCATCATAGGAGACTGTTGAAAGTTTATGACATCAATATTTTTAGCAAGATTACTTATAAGACTATTATAAGAGTATTCTATAAAATAGATAAAGAATAAAATAATAAAACTGAATTGCTATCTACAGACAGAGTCTAACATGTAATGTTTTATTCTTACAATGATATTCAAAATGAAAATATGTAAAAGAAAGTTCTGGATACAAGGCCAACTCAAGAATTTGATATCCATGGAATTTGCTACAATCTGTGCTAACAACTTGAATAATCATTTCTGCCGTGATTTCTTTGTCACAGTCATTATACCACCCACAATATAAGGTGCAGTTTTAATATTTCTACCATTTTTTGTGGATATGATAAGTATTCCTTTACGGATTTCCCTGTACACACACAATTTTGACCAAATGTTATACAACTCAGTTCATCTGATCATTACAATATGATTTATGCAATTGTGATGGATTTTTCATTGTGACCACTTGCAACGTATTTGAAAAATTGCAACCAAGCAAGACACACCACTCAACCATGGAATCCAAATCATACACTCTTTATATTTTCTCTAAGAGTTTCTTTCGGTCCCATTAATGATGAACTCTTACAGCCACAAAATATTATCTAATTTTAACTGTTGGTCCAAGACATGTGATAAACACTGGGGCAACAGCCTGTACGACTTCAGCTGCTGTGGAGGAAGATCAGGACTAAAATATGATATTGGTCGGTAAATGTCAGAAAATCAATATATTGTTCAATTAGTTTAATATTGTATAAATATAGCTTTGGTAGCTAATTGCTCATGAACCTTCTCTAAATGTTGTCAAAAAGTTATCAACATAATTTTCATGTGTTGATTTTTAATGAAAAAAATACACAACACTCCATTTCCCTTGTTTCATATTATAAACAAGATAGTATAATAAAACAATTTGAACCTTAAAAAAAAAAAAAAGTAGTATATGCATTACTACACCTATTAATAAGTTTGATACCAACCAAAGGAGAGCAGACTGGACACAACAAGACCAGATCCGGTTTTGTAGTACGCTGTATAAGTCTGTGGCTGACAGGCCAGGCCCCCCTTGTATAAAACTACTTAAGTATTGAGATTTCCTTAAATCTGAGGATTTCCTCAAATTATTTGAGATTACTCAGTTTTCTTCTCAACTCTTGAGATTTTCCTCCAATCCTGAGATTTCGCGTTTGTTTCAGGTCTACAGGATCCACCTCTATACCTCACCTAACTCTGACATCCCTGTCAGCGACTACTTCTCACCGGAGTTTGTCATGTCATTTGTAATGGTAAGTGAGGTGATAACTGATTCATGAATGAAAAATTATTGAAAATACTATAAACCCTGATTTGTGAATGAAACATCACTGAAAATGTATGGTAAACAATGATTCAAGAATGAAAAATTACCAAAAATATTATAAATGCTGATTTGTGAATGAAATGTGACACAAAAAACTTATGGTAAGCAATGATTCATGAATGAAAAATAACTGAAAAAATTACAATCATTGCTTCTTGAAAGAAAAATTATCAAAAGCAATGTGAATATGGTTTCTTATTCTATAACTTAATGAACACAGACATTGGTTGTTGACATCTGAAGTATTGTTATCGTAGACAAGAGTAAATCACACTGTTACATTTTAGCCAATACTACACTGTTTCCTGAGTTTCTTCCTCCTGCGGATGCTAGACATAAAGAACACTGGCGGTGATGTTCGGGACGCTTTACCATTTCTCGCAAAAAAGCGAAATAGTCAGGTCATCCCTCACAAGAATGATGACATCATTGATAATGAGGATGAGGATGTGACAACTGAGAGGCATAGAGTTCACAGTATCAAATCCAACAGGGTAAGTCACCGTCCAGAACTACGCTAACACTGATTACCGTAAGTAGGAAGGGAACCTAACATTGTGTGTAGCTGTTGACATTCAGCGTTATTTTAGATACAACAACATATTTTTTCTCTCAGAATAAGCATTAACTAACTTTAATAAAAAGAATTGATGTTCTTTAGGAAAATGTGGCTGCTTATGTAGAGAACTTGAGGAAGGAGTTTACGAAGGATGGAGCCGGTGGCTGTAAAGGTTGTAAAAAGGCGTCCGAAAAAGAAAAACTCAAGGTGGTCGTCCGCAATACAACTTACGCTGTTAATACAGGAGAGATCCTGGGACTTCTGGGACCCAATGGGGCAGGCAAATCTACCACACTAAATATGATGATCGCGGAGTTAGCTCCTACTAAAGGACAGGTATGTTGTCAGGCCCATTAGCTTGAAGATGTACAGAATCATTGAACATTTGATCAGTTCACAGGTATTTCTTGGATTCTGATTTGCTGACACATTCTAGAAATGAATTCTTCAAGTATTGTGTACAGAGGATTGTGTGTTACAATAAGTAAAATACAGAAGATATAGAGTTTCTGTACAGCTAATGATGTTTACTTTATTGTAGGTTGTGATTGGAGGATATGACATCCATTCATGCATGTCAGAAGCATTTGAGGGCTTAGGGTTCTGTCCCCAACATGATGCATTGTGGGATGTTATCACGCTGAAGGAACACATAGAGTGCTATGCTAATATCCGAGGTGTTCCTAAGGAAAAGATCCCCGTCCTCACTGATTAGTAAGAACAATATTTCTCATTCAGTTTTACTTGACTGTGTTATGAGTGAGGTTTTTTTTCTATTTCTGTATTTTTAGCCCCCATTATCAGATGGTGGGCAGTTCAAATTGCTCTTCGTCCGTGTTCCTTCATCTGTCTGTCATTTTGTCATTCCATCATAAAACAATTCTAGTAAGCCCTATTTCTCAGAAAGACTAAGTACTGGAGGGATTTTGCTCAAATTTCGAAGGTTCCCCATGATCTGTAGTTATATGCATATCAAATATGGGTTTGATTGGCATTCAAGATGGTCGAAAGGTGGCCATCTGGAATTGTGATAGTAAAAGTTTGTTAGCACTATTTCCCAGAAAGTACTTTGGGGTCTTGCTCAAATTTCAATCGAGGGTTAACCATGGTCGCTAGTTACCCATATCAAATTTGGTTGTGATCAGAAAACAAGATGGCTGACAGGCAGCCAACTTGAATGTTGAGAGTTAAAGTTTGTTAGCACTATTTCTCATAAAGTGCTTAGGGATCTTTCTCAAATTTTACATGAACATTTCCCATAATCCTTTCTTATGAATGTTCTATTTCAGTTTGATCAGAAAACCAAGACAGTGTGCAAGTACACATGTTTGAGGGTAAACTTCATTTAGATACTTACTTTATTGATGTATATCTTTTTACTGATTATGGTTGATGATCCATATGTACATTCTGATAACATTTCAATATTTGCTTTGATTTGACAGCTTTGTAAAGAATATGAAATTAGATGAGCATAAGAACAAGCAATCCAAGAAGTTGTCTGGAGGAACCAAGAGGAAGGTAAGGTAAACACATTGTAACACATAGCCACTAAATAGAACTCTCTTATCAAAGGAAATAGGAACAACATGTTTTAAAAATCATGTTAATATTAAGGGTATGGACAACTTGTTTTGAAATTTGTGTATTTTTCTAAACGGAATCAATTAACTCATATTAAACAGAAACAACACACATGTTAACTGTTTGCACCTCTTGTTGATCAGCTGAGCTATATTCTGAGTATCCTGGGCAGACCAAAGATAGTGCTGCTAGATGAACCATCCACTGGAATGGATCCACAGTCCAAGCGCTTCCTCTGGTCAGTAATTGGTTTCCTTGTATGTGTTGTATACACCTGTGGTTAGTGTCCTTGTATGTGCTGTATACACCTGTGGTCAGTGTCCTTGTATGTGGTATACACCTGTGGTCAGTGTCCTTGTATGTGCTGTATACACCTGTAGTTAGTGTCCTTGTATGTGCTGTATACACCTGTGGTCAGTGTCCTTGTATGTGGTATACACCTGTGGTCAGTGTCCTTGTATGTGTTATACACCTACATTGTATTTGTTAGGTACATATTTTTACATGAACTCTCTGACATGGTATTGATTAATAAAACTATCTATCATGATATTGCAGACTTACGATTGGTAACCAGAACATTACACAACCTTTCTGACTTATGATCGGTTCCCAGAACATCCAGAGCTTTCTGACTTATGATTGGTTCCCAGAACATTACACGACCTTACAGACTTATGATTGGTTACCAGAATATTACACGACCTTACTGACTTATGATTGGTTACTGTTACTCTTACACGACCTTTCTGGCTTACGATTGGTAACCAGAACATTACACAACCTTTCTGACTTATGATTGGTTCCCAGAACATCCAGAGCTTTCTGACTTATGATTGGTTACTGTTACTCTTACACGACCTTTCTGACTTATGATTGGTTCCCAGAACATTACACAACCTTACTGACTTATGATTGGTTCCCAGAACATTACACGACCTTACTGACTTATGATTGGTAACCAGAACATTACACGACCTTACAGACTTATGATTGGTTACCAGAACATTACACGACCTTACAGACTTATGATTGGTTCCCAGAACATTACACGACCTTACTGACTTATGATTGGTAACCAGAACATTACACGACCTTACTGACTTATGATTGGTTACTGTTACTCTTACACGACCTTTCTGACTTACGATTGGTTCCCAGAACATTACACAACCTTTCTGACTTATGATTGGTTCCCAGAACATCAAGAGCTTTCTGACTTATGATTGGTTACTGTTACTCTTACACGACCTTTCTGACTAATGATTGGTTACCAGAACATTACACGACCTTACTGACTTATGATTGGTTCCCAGAACATTAAGAGCTTTCTGACTTATGATTGGTTTCCAGAACATTACATGACCTCTCTGACTTATGATTGGTTTCCAGAATATAACATGACTTTTCTGGTTTCTATGACAATATTTGTTTAACCTTTCTGACTTGTATTTGGTTACAGGGACACCATCAGTAGCTGCTTTGAGGGCTCAGAACGAGGTGCTATTCTCACAACTCATTACATGGAAGAGGCTGACGCTCTTTGTAATAGAGTAGCTATCATGGTCAATGGAAAGCTCCAGTAAGTTATCTTCCATGTCACTTGTGTTTATATTTTTAGAAGCCAACATTGGTAACAACATAATATACATAATAAATAAATGTGAAGGGCAAATTTAATATGGGGTGAAAATGGATTTTACCATCGAAGAGCGAAAATTTGACTGGCAAACATTTCCAATAAACAGCATATTTTTCAAGATTTTTTTTATCTTTGGGATTTTCAAGAAACATTAAAACAGTTTGAATACATCTGAATAATCATAGCAATAACTTCATGAAGTAAGAGGCAAATTTATATGATTTCATTTCATATTGTCCTTTCCTTACTTGATACAAGCAGGCAGCTTACATGATGTGATGACTTAGATTGGATAGAATATAATGACAAACACTTGATGAACTATATCAGAAGAGACCATTGGATCCACAGAAATGATAGGTTATTAATACTGGATATTATATCTATAGATACAGTGTTATATGAAAAAATGTGATCACATGATCCAATTTGTAGGTGTTTAGGTGAAACACAGCACCTAAAGAACAAGTACGGAAGTGGCTACATGTTGGAGATGAAACTTCGTCTGTCAGGTGGCGGTGGTGCCGACCTGGATACCAGGATGGAAGCTCTGGAGGAGGAAATGAAAAACCTGTTCCCTGAGGCCAGATGTCAGGAAAAGTTTGCAGAGAGGGTGCACTACACTATTCCAAGGAACAGTGTTCAGTCTCTGGCCACAGCATTCACTGCTCTAGAGCAAGGTCAGGATGTATTGCATATGTAAACCAAAGATGATCAGATACCAAGAATAAGGGCATACATTTGAAGTAATTATATCAAGAAAGGGAACTATATATGTGATTGCCTTTGAAATATATAAAACACCGACAATTTTCATCAGACATAAACCCTGTTTGTCTAAAAAAAAAAAAATGATAATCTTGAAATTTATTTTTACATGTACTCGCAATTTTCCATTGAAATAGTTGAGATTTTCAAGATTTTTCATGCAGGCTTTATACTTGTGCACAGTCTAAAGCAGTATAATCATTTGGGTAATTGTAGAATTCAGATGTTAAAAATTCTAATAGTTCTGGAGGCCATCGAATTTATAGCAGTTTGATACTCTTGGTGAAGGATAACAAAACGGAAGTCAATATACATGTGTGTGCTTCATGTAAATGTGTTTATCATTAACTTTTCATTTGTTGATGATAAATTATTACCTGTTCACAGCTAAAGCCAAATACAGCCTCGAAGAGTACAGCTTTAGCCAGTCTACATTAGAACAGGTAACACTATCAATGCAAACATCGGTCGTAATGGAAGTGTGATAAAAGGGTCCACCGGATTAATACAAGGGTGTTCTTTGTTACAAAAGATAAAATTGATATAAAGATTATACGATTAACACCAGAGCCATCCTCAAATGTAACGTAAGTTTATGTGAATTCAGGGAACCCAAAATTGATAAACATGGGTGGTGTGCTACAATTGTGGTGTCCCTAAAGAGGGATGATGTAGTACGTGCTACCAGAACGATGTGCTACACACAAGAGTTGAGTGTTGTTAGTACAAGGGTGCTGTACGTGCTAGAAGTGTGATTAGCTACAAGGTGAGCTTATAAAAGAGTGGTGTGCTATATACACAAGTGTAATAAACTGCAAGAACGATGTGCTACACACAAGAGTTTGTTAATAGTACAAGGGTGGTGTACTAGTGTACTAGTACTTGAAGTGTGATTAGCTACAAGAATGGTGTGCTAGTGTGCTGTGTTAGAAGTGTAATTTACTACAACAGTGTGCTAAAAGAGTGGTGCGCTATATATACATAAGCGTGATATACTGCAAAAAGGTTTTGCTACATACAAGAGGGGAGTGCTACAAGGGTGGTGTTTTACAAGGGAGGAATGTTATAGGTACTATACAACGATGTAAATGCTGTACCGAAGTCAACTTGATACAATGTTATGAACGCTACCTAATGGAAACCCAAAAGTGTTTTCAATTATTGTTTGTTTTCCTTCTCTTAGGTGTTCCTGCAGTTCGCTAAACAACAGATTGATGAAGACATGTCAGAGGAGCCAGAGGCCAACGGGATGGGCATTGAAATATCGGTGGGGACCCCGTCCATTCAGGACGTGAACAATCGTCACATGACATATTTGTGAAGTCACACTTGTCTGTTTTGCTATATTCTAACTGAAAAATGTTTCCCTCCTGATACATGTGTTGAATTAATAGGCCTTGTACTAGTTTAGAGTGTTACATAGTGGGAGATAGGTGGGTGGGTGTTGTATAGTAATTGCTTTATCTGCATTGCATGTATCTGTGTGTTTTGCCATAGTGCTAAGGCTTGTGTTCAAGATACCTCCAGGCTCTCAACACGTTCAGTTCATATTTATATTGAGATAACATGAGCTCTATGCATGTTTTGTGTTTTGTGTTCATTGATCAAGGTTAAAGGGTGAAAGGTAACATTTTACTACTTTAGACCACCATTTTCTAATCAGGGGTAGGAGTATATCTTTGTGTGACTCTGCTTACTCTGTGTACAACATTACATGTAGTATGGAAGATGGAACAACATGCTGCCTCCCCTCTGTAATGATGGAATAGGATTCTGCTAAAGCCATATTTTCCTTAAATTCTAAGCCCTATACTGGTATAATATGCAGCCTCCCTAAACCCTATACTGGTATTAAATGCTGATTTCATAAGTCCTATTCTGGTACAAAATTGTATCGTGTGTCTGAGGTGGAGATTTCTCTACACTGATATGAAAGTTAGTGATCAGTGTTGCATTCACCAATAATATTAGAAGTGGACCTGGAAATTTCAATCCTGACTGTGAGATAGTCAACCTGCAGCCTGTTCTAGTCTGTGCAGTGTATACCAAGTACACTTTATAGGTAAAATGACTCTTTTAGAATAAACGAGTAAATGTTTTCTCTCTGCTTTATACTATAGAAATATTCTCTCTATGTCTCTTAGCTTCTACTGTGTCAGTATTCTCTATCGCTCTCTTAGCTTATACTGGGACTAATAAAATCTATTACCTGTAACTGAGCAGTATGACGTTATAGATATATCTGTCTGAGGTGCGAGAAAATGTTCTCTATCCCTCTCTTAGCTTATACTTGGGCAGTAGTCACTTTCTCTATCTTAGCTTATACTTGGGCAGTAGTCGCTTTCTCTATCTTAACTTATACTTCGGCAGTAGTCGCTTTCTCTATCTTAACTTATACTTGGGCAGTAGTCGCTTTCTCTATCTTAACTTATACTTGGGCAGTAGTCGCTTTCTCTATCTTAACTTATACTTGGGCAGTAGTCGCTTTCTCTATCTTAACTTATACTTGGGCAGTAGTCGCTTTCTCTATCTTAACTTATACTTGGGCAGTAGTCGCTTTCTCTATCTTAACTTATACTTGGGCAGTAGTCGCTTTCTCTATCTTAACTTATACTTGGGCAGTAGTCGCTTTCTCTATCTTAACTTATACTTGGGCAGTAGTCGCTTTCTCTATCTTAACTTATACTTGGGCAGTAGTCGCTTTCTCTATCTTAACTTATACTTGGGCAGTAGTCGCTTTCTCTATCTTAACTTATACTTGGGCAGTAGTCGCTTTCTCTATCTTAACTTATACTTGGGCAGTAGTCGCTTTCTCTATCTTAACTTATACTTGGGCAGTAGTCGCTTTCTCTATCTTAACTTATACTTGGGCAGTAGTCGCTTTCTCTATCTTAACTTATACTTGGGCAGTAGTCGCTTTCTCTATCTTAACTTATACTTGGGCAGTAGTCGCTTTCTCTATCTTAACTTATACTTGGGCAGTAGTCGCTTTCTCTATCTTAACTTATACTTGGGCAGTAGTCGCTTTCTCTATCTTAACTTATACTTGGGCAGTAGTCGCTTTCTCTATCTTAACTTATACTTGGGCAGTAGTCGCTTTCTCTATCTTAACTTATACTTGGGCAGTAGTCGCTTTCTCTATCTTAACTTATACTTGGGCAGTAGTCGCTTTCTCTATCTTAACTTATACTTGGGCAGTAGTCGCTTTCTCTATCTTAACTTATACTTGGGCAGTAGTCGCTTTCTCTATCTTAACTTATACTTGGGCAGTAGTCGCTTTCTCTATCTTAACTTATACTTGGGCAGTAGTCGCTTTCTCTATCTTAACTTATACTTGGGCAGTAGTCGCTTTCTCTATCTTAACTTATACTTGGGCAGTAGTCGCTTTCTCTATCTTAACTTATACTTGGGCAGTAGTCGCTTTCTCTATCTTAACTTATACTTGGGCAGTAGTCGCTTTCTCTATCTTAACTTATACTTGGGCAGTAGTCGCTTTCTCTATCTTAACTTATACTTGGGCAGTAGTCGCTTTCTCTATCTTAACTTATACTTGGGCAGTAGTCGCTTTCTCTATCTTAACTTATACTTGGGCAGTATTCGCTTTCTCTATCTTAACTTATACTTGGGCAGTAGTCGCTTTCTCTATCTTAACTTATACTTGGGCAGTAGTCGCTTTCTCTATCTTAACTTATACTTGGGCAGTAGTCGCTTTCTCTATCTTAACTTATACTTGGGCAGTAGTCGCTTTCTCTATCTTCACTTATACTTAGGCAGTAGTCGCTTTCTCTATCTTAGCTTATACTTGGGCAGTATTCGCTTTCTCTATCTTAACTTATACTTGGGCAGTTGTCGCTTTCTCTATCTTAACTTATACTTGGGCAGTAGTCGCTTTCTTTAGGCTGCTTCTGTGATTCACTGTTGCCTTTAGAAACGAGTCCTTGAATGTTCTGAATAGTATAATAGTTTTGTTCACATTTTATTGTTTGATGAATGAACATGTGTAGTGATTTGGTTTCCTTTTCTTCTCTAAAATGTTATACATGTATATGTTACCAAATCATATCCAATTAAATTGATAAATGGAAGAATAATGATATATGTTTTCAAATTTTATTTTTGATCATCAGCTTCCAAAATTGGATATATTTCTATTTAGAAATCAGATGTTTTATTTGTAAAAGTGCAAACTTTGTGTTCATTTCAATGTGCTAAACATCAGTCCAAGAAACCCCATAGCACTTGGAATAGGTATACTTTCATTGGATGTTTATGTACGTATTGAACATTATATATTCACTTGTCACATTCCTGATGAGGTCCTGTAAGGGGTATTTTTATAATGATCGACTAGAGACCTGATTGGTTTCTATCATGATCAATACCGGCGCCGGTATAGCTATTTATATCAGTATGACTGGTTTTATTTTAAATATTGATAGGACATCTGTTTTTCATATATCGATATAGCTACTGTTTATATCAGTGTCTATATAACTGTTGTTTATATCAGTATAGCTGTTGTTTATAACAGTATAGCCGACGTTATATCGGTATAGCTATTGTTTATATCAGTATAGCTATTGTTTATATCAGTATAGCTGTTGTTTATATCAGTATAGCTGTTGTTTATATCAGTATGGCTAATATTTTATCAGTAAAGTTAATGTTATATGGATATAGCTATTGTTTATATCAGCAGAACTAACGTTATATCAGTATAGCTATGGTTATGTTCCATCTAAACTGTACAAGGCAATGTAATTCCTTCACTTTTTGAGTTTTATCCACACCGACTAATATTTTTAACAGTTGACATTGAATATCTGTTTGAATGAGGTAAAGCACTAGATTTCAAAAGGGGTAAAGTAAATATTTATACACTTTTTAGTAGTCATATGGTTCCTGAAGAAAATGAGGTAAATGGTCTACAAAGTTGAGATTAATTTTGTTTGCAATGTGTCCCTAACTTTTAATGTTGTCTTTAAAAGCTTGCTTTGCACATTATGTATCTGGTAATAGAAAGTGGACAATTTCACAATCTCACAACAGTATTTTCTGCATGTATAAAATGTGTTTGTCATTATCAAGAAACCATTACCTTTACATGGGTTTGATACAGTTTACATCATGAAGAACCAGAAATGTTTAAGTCTTTCACCATTTATCTCATGACCATTCTCCTCATTCACCAGTAAAAACCAACACCATAACTTCTAGTTGTTAACTTAACTGGCCAGTGCTTAACTTCTAGTTGTAAACTTAACTAGCCAGTACTTAACTTCTAGTTGTTAACTTAACTAGCCAGTGCTTAACTTCCAGTTGTAAACTTAACTAGCCAGTACTTAACTTCTAGTTGTTAACTTAACTAGCCAGTGCTTAACTTCTAGTTGTAAACTTAACTAGCCAGTGCTTAACTTCTAGTTGTAAACTTAACTAGCCAGTGCTTAACTTCTAGTTGTAAACTTAATTTACCAGTGCTTAATTCTAGTTGTAAACTTAACTAGCCAGTACTTAACTTCTAGTTGTAAACTTAACTAGCCAGTGCTTAACTTCTAGTTGTAAACTTAACTAGCCAGTGCTTAACTTCCAGCTGTAAACTTAACTAGCCAGTGCTTAACTTCTAGTTGTAAACTTAACTAGCCAGTGCTTAACTTCTAGTTGTAACTAATAGAGGTGCTTTTCATTTTCATCCATTTTTTTCAATAAACGGATTAACATTTGTTGCTATGCACATAACAAATCACCTTCCAGCATCATTTTGCTGCTACTTTGACAAAACACTCTCAGATTAGTGTTATTGTTGGCAGATTATACTTTAGAATTGGAGACCTGTAATATCACACCTTAGAATACAGCATTATGTTTTATCGCCAAATTAACCTTTAACGTTAAAGAATTGCTTTGTATTGAATTATTATGTTTGAAAGCAAATCAAATATCCAAACATTATATAAATGTTAAAAGAGTCTGTGACAGTAAAATTCAGACTTTTAAATATTCTTATAATTCCACTAATGTAGTTTAAAATGCCTTTTCTTTGGAATTCAAGTCACTGCTTTTATAAATTGACTTTAACATTGTCTACTGACTTACAACTAGTGATAACATGGTCTACTGACTTACAACTAGTGATAACATGGTCTACTGACTTACAACTAGTGACAACACGGTCTACTGACTTACAACTAGTGACAACACAGTCTACTGACTTACAACTATTGACAACATGGTCTACTGACTTACAACTAGTGATAACATGGTCTACTG